ACACATATCATACGATATTAACATCACGTTGCACAAGCTTAAATACGATTTTTTTATACAAGTCAACATATCATTTCGTATTCCGTTTTGTATGTCATCAAGTTTTTTATTTCTAAATGAAACAGAAAACGCATTTCAATGATATGGGTACGACGAAATTATGATTGCGTGTCAGAAATTTGTATGTTTGCGAGCAAAAAAATATAATTTTTTTATTTGCAAGGAACATGGAAAAAAGAACATACATTTAAAAAATTGCAATATTATACAATGAAAAAAATCAATCCTTTCGAGTTACGATTATTCATAACCGTAAGCATTTGTTTGGAAATTGTCGCTAAATGAAAAAAAATAAGTCAGAGTGCGGCTTTATTTAATATTTTTTTCTTTTTTCTCTTTAATATTTGATCTTATGCGTAGTATATTTGCGCCGAGCAAGTTCAATTTTTTGTCCGTTGGTTGCCTAATGAGGCGACTCGGTCGTTTCGTGCGTGCAAACACTTTCCGTGTAATCGCAGTACATTTCTCAGGCCATGCTATCGATCTCTCCTCTCAGCGTACAAACATTACGTGATTCGGATCGGCAGGTAAAACGCGGCAGAAATGCATGAGTATGGAATATGACGGAATACCGAGCACGGCGGTCGAGGAAAATTTCACGAGCCACTTGAGACGAACCGATAAGCGAGCGTCGCATAATTTTTCACAATTCGAATAAGGGATTCTCGAGATTAGATTCATTTAAATCTATCGTAAAAAAAAACAAAATGAAGTTTACTTACATTCACAGTTGCCTCCAATGTCGTCGGGGCCGACCGAGAGACGCCATTCCAAATGAACGAACGACGCGTACATTCCAATGCAGATATTCGTGCGATATAGAATAGAACCGAAACTAACATTCGGTTTCATTACACTACCGATCGGAGATTGGTTTGCGTCCGCATCTTTTGACCAATCAAATCGCCAACCGCTCCTTCCTGATTAGTCAAGAGATAATCGTAGACAAAGGCGCAGGCGCGGACGTAATCGCTAATCGCTAATGTGATACGGACATAAACGACACGCGCGATTATTCGCGAAATTTCTATCATCGTAAAATACAAGAGGAAATCATATTGCTGTACGTGAAAAAAGTTGATTGGTAGACAGTTGTTCACGCTCCACTCGTTGCTCCATCCGATGTTCACTCGTTTATTCACCCTCTCGTTTATTCGTGCGCGATAACTCACAATTGCCATAGAGTAATGTCCTACACAGACGAAAGCTCGAGATTGACTGGCCTTCAAATTTTGTACAGTACGACGCTCGTAAGCCCGCCTTGTTATTGTTTTGATTCGCGCTCCGCCCGGTTTGCGCCGTCCTTCCCTCTCACTCGCGCTTATCCTTACTACGTAAATACTACGTACGTAATATAGTCGTCTTCGGACCGTTGTATGGAGTGGATGTGTTTTGTCCCTAATTTTTACACTACGCCATTCGCGCATTCTTGTCTTTACTTTCGAATTCTGACTTAGTTTTATCAATTTTCGATCTTGTATGTTTCAAGATACACCGTATCTTGGTAGGTAGAGAAAAAGTATACTCAGATTATATTCGATTGGACACATGGCTGTATCGTTCCTACGATCACTGTGTGGAACGGGAGCCATTAAAAATAAAAAGAAATAGAGTACCAATAATTCTCTCATTCCCTCTCTACAGGCTTATGCTTCGTATTCTATCTTCTTTTCGAACACTTTATCATTGCCTGTTATCAATTTTTATCGTATGTATATTCTCGTAATCAATGTGATACTTAAAATGAGAAATTATATTCAATTTTCAATAATTATAATTTAACCTATGAATTCTTTATGCATATGTTTTGCGTGTGCATGCATGAAGTACGTATACGCTGTATTTAATATATAAAATTAAAAGAAATTAATGCTGCACATACATAATCATAAGTGTCTTCTCTCTCTTTCGCTCTATTTTTCGCTTAAGATTAAAATATATGAGACGTCTAATAAATATCATAAACTTATGATACAATTCTTTTTAAATGCTTCTCAACTTTCGAACATTAATCTTTTTCGCTGCAAATTGATGAATTTTATCGAACTTATGCATACTTTATAATTGTACTATATTTTCGTTTTATATTGAGTACGCATTGTGTAGCTATCGTGAAAATAATTATTCTTCTTTATCAGACGCAGCAACACGCGACATAATCGCGGTCATCGTTTCGTTTATACATGCGTTTTCGCATGCTTTTCTCCGATTAATAATTCCAAATTAAAGTACATTATATGTTAAGTTCTGTTTACAATGGAGAAGATATTAGGAATAAGAATAAGTATTAAATTTTGGACATATAAAATCGAAAATTAAGTCGGAATTGAAAAATAAAGACAAAAATGCGCGATAACGCATGTAAAAATTATATAAAGACGAGACTCGTCTGCCTTGTACAATGGTCCGAGACGAGTGCTTTGTGTAGTGAGAATGTGCGAGTGAGAGGGAGGGAGGGCAGGGCACGAATCAAAACAATAACAGAGCGCGAGCTTACGAACATTGTTCGAAATTTGAAGGCCAGTCAACCTCGAGCTCTCGTCCGTGTAGTACGAGTATCTTTGCTTGTGTCCAAAACGCGTTACGTTTAGTTTTTATTTCTACCTTTATTTCCAAAATTGAATATTTATTCCCGTTTCCTCTATTGTGCGGAGAGTCTTGTCATTAAAATATACGCAGTCGGAACGTATCCAATCGCGTAAGATATTCGTGTCTCCCGCACATTCATTTCGTCTCTCGCATAAGTTTTTACTTTATGCTCCCGGCATTCGCGTTAATTCTCGAAACACGAGAAAACTTTGAAACGCAGGAACGGCTGATTTGCGCGGTGTCGAATCTAGTGATATATCGTTTTGGATTCTCCGCTGTTATTCGCGACATTGCGCATTATCGCTCGTGTGCAACTTCACGCGGGTTCTTTGTGTGATGCGTGCCTCGAATTGCATCAGTTGATCGTTTCTCAATGACGTCGGTGATTGTGAATGCAGGTAAAAAACTAATCTTTTGCTCTTTCATGACCAATTTCAAATAAATTCGAGTATCTTAAGAGATTTTTTTCTTTCTTTTACATAGTGCAACAGAAAATTCGTTTGTCGATTCATCAAAGACTCCTCGTCGAGCGCCATCGACGTTTTCGATTTTTTTTCTATCGATGCAAATAATAAAATTTCATACCGCATAGTGGATCGATAGCACAACTTTTGAAAAATATTTAATTACATGAAAGTACGCATAAAAGAAAAAACTACACGTGTGAAATGAAAAGCAAAAACTTCTTGTCTTTTTGAATGTGTCTTATACAATGTTGAGAATTAGACATTAAGTATTACGCACTTATTTTTGGCCATTTCTATTTATGTTCTTTTTATTCTGATCTGGAATATTAAAGTTATCAAGTAAAATTTAAAAAATTTTTGATATTAGAAAAAAAACATTGAAAAAAATAGAAATAGTTACAAATGATCATTTGATATTTTTAATGTTAAGAAATAATGGGCGCACTTTTGTTTTTTTTCTCTGATCAATTTTCAATCCAAACGGACTCGATTTTTTTAATAATAATAATCTATTTTTCATGATATATTTGCATGAAATATTACAATAATGTTTTTCTGTTACAGGCACTGCGCAACTAATAAGCATTTGCGACGATGGATTCACATGTGGAACGGATGTTCTTAAAATTGACAAAGCAACCGGTAACATTTCAAAACTCATGGAAGGTAAGTGCCATTCAGTTAATTAGAAATAGTGAGAAGCGGCGTTCGAGAAAAGGCCACAATGTTGCACGCGTAAAAACGCTAAACACGAGCACGCGGCTCTTCTTGAAAGACGCAAGTAAGTGGGATGTAAGTGGGATTTATTTTTTTTCTCTCATCGACAACTTCGTTGACAAGCGCACAATGTCGATACGGCTTAGAATGGCGTGTATCGGCGAACACAGCACGCACAATATAATTGGAGAAAAGTCGTGTCAAAAGTTGCGCCGACACGCTTCACGCGAATGTAACATGCGATTCTTTGATATTGCTCGCGGTCCCCATCGGCGAACTCGCTTTGCCCCGCTTTAACGTCGGCAAGTAAACACGTGGAAATATTCGCGACGTCTTCCACGATGTGATCCACGGTGATGAACATGGATGGCACGTATCGTATAAAATTGCAACTAGCGCCGCGTAATACCCGAGGATTTTTAAAATTGGCTCGCAATAGCGTAGATAGAAGGTAGAGGGATGTACATACTGATACAATATTGCTGGAAAAATGCGAAAAAACAAATATCCCACGTTTTTGTGAGACGCATTTTTATCTTGCTTTGAAAACATGGAGGAGTGATACGTTTCGACTTTCGAGAATAGAGAGTACATTATTTCGAAAATTAATCATTTTATTCTAATTTGCTTTAGCTTTTTGACTCTTTGTATAATTCACTATCATTCGTGCATTATATATATTTCTACTAAAATTGCATTCGTAAGTCATCGTGTACAATGAAATTAAAATCGCTGCAAATATACTAGCGGACGGAATATTTTACTCTTACATCGCACGCAATATTAACTCGAATTTCGTGCTTTTCGCTGATTCCCGGATATCTATTTATACTCTTATACACACGATATCTTGCTCCATTAAATTATGAATGCTGGAAACACGTTATATCGTTTAGTGTAAAATATACACGGTTGAATAACGTGACGTTTTACGAAGAGATATGGATATATATAATGGATATATATAAAATCCTTTTTTTTTTTTTTTTCCATAGGTTTATTTTACGAGATTCTCATTGCCTCGTAATGAACTATTGAAATCTCGGGAATCAAAATCGTTTCTTCACGTGAAAAATTTTTCTTTTTCATTTCCTCGTAAATAACTGTCGTAAAAACTTTTATATGCGGGGCGTAGTTTCGCGGGGCAAAGGTAAATTAAGTTTCCCGTTTTTACGTGCGAAGTTAGTATATATGAATAAAAGTAGAGGAAATTGCTATCATTTATTTATTGCAGTCCTTATTTATTTTGATTTCTCAAATCGGTCCCGTCAACATGTTTATTAAGAGTTTAAAAAAGAATATTTTTTGTTTCAATGAGTTTCACAAAACTAGTTTATATAGGAGTTTATTTAATGCATGAGCACATTTCTAAATAAAAAAGGTCAATTAAACGAGTACACAGAACGTGAATTAATAGCAATATAATATATATAAAAAATAATAAGTTTAATATTCATGAAAACCTTTTGATTTTACAAAGCCTACTTCAGCCTATATAAACTTGTAGAATTACAATTAATACATTTTAAATATTTTTAAATATTTATTATTAAAACGTAAAACGTGTTTTGTTCGATGACAGATAATGATGAGATAAATGATTTTTTATTCATAGGCGAAAAAGAATAGAATCATGTTGTAAACCAATATTCTATATTTGTTTCTGTTTCTGTTATAAAGCATGATGTCTAAAATTATAGAAATTTAAAACTGGATAACAATACAGAAAAGAGAAGGGACAAATTAAATTGAAATTAAAATCAATGAAAAATTTGTTTAAATAGAGAACAGATAAGAGAAACTAGAAAATACAAACTTAGAATTCAGAAGTATTAAACTATATAAATGCGTTGAACCAAATTAAAATAGGTATTGCTAATATTTGAGTGGTGGCAGGTAAAGATGAGAAAATACGTGTATAGTAATACAATAAATAAATAAATGGTTTTTTGAACACAAACGACATTCAAAACATTTCTAAATACTAGATAATGAGCATCATTGCGCACAACGTTTATTAAATAATTAATATAATTAATATAAATATGCGGAAATTAATAGACTGAATAAACGTAAATGATTTACGGTTTCGTATCAATATTTTGAGTATTCTCTTTTGCATCATTATATAAATTACGGAAACAATACGTGAGTTCATGCTGGTGTTAAGAATGCAAAGCCCGCATATGAACCTATTTTCAAATAACGCGAAACAAAATAAGATGTAATTATCATGCTGGGAACTGCATACGACATTAGCGTCCAAAGTAGAAAAACACGTCGGGCGAAGTAACCGGGGATAAAAAACGAGCGCTTCGTTTAAGCTCTCCCTAGATTTTCCATTTTCGTATGTCGCACGCGGGGTAAAATGCTGACCTACTCGTGAGTTCGGTCCTGACACTAATTAATACCATGGGCTACTACAGCTTGTACATAAAAAAATGTGTACGAAAATGTGTACGTGATATAATTTATCGAGTAAATTTATTTCGAAAAAGTGGAAATGAAATCCGCTGTCATGATATATTCGATATGTTAGACAGCTTTTATATGCGTTCGCAAAAATGAAAAGAATATCGTTAAAAAAGTAGAACGCGAGATCCACCATAATATATAAATAGTATGTGAAATATGTTAATTTTCTCGAATATCTGGTAATTTTAAAATTATGTAAATATAAGACGCGCGATGTGTAGTAATGTTTAATATAAGTAATGTTAAATTATATGAAAAAGAGAGAATAGAATCATGCAAAATATCAGTTTCATAAAATATCATTTGGTTAGCTTTGAGCACAGCATACGATAAAATCAATACAATAATCGTGTATCTTAATTTTATATAATTAAATTGTGATATATAATAATTTATATACACATTTCGTTGAATATAATATTATGCAATATTCGTTATATGCAATATTCGAATATAATATATTGCAGTATGCAGTGTGGCTACACACACACACACACACACACACACACACACACACACACACACACACACAAAATAACAATTTTTAACAGACTAAAAATTTTATAAAAATTTTTGTGCAAATATATATAATACTAATATATCTTTATTAAATTATTTTGAAACAAAATGAAATAACTTTATATTGTTGGTTAGTATCACGAAAATATGTAAAAAATTGAATCTTTTTATTAGAAAATTTGTCATCTTAAGTGATATTTTTATAAAATATTTTTAATTTAGAAATAGCATCCGATTGCAATCTTTAAATTCATATTTAGAATTTTTTAATTAGTAATTGTAAAAAATATATAATTTATATAATAGATATGCATATACAGTTGTACAATTACAATACATGGATATTGCTGAAATTATCACATCACAATTAAAAATATAATTGGTTTCAATATATTTGTCAATAAATAAGTTAGAAGAATGTTCAATCGCTTAAAAAGAATTTGCAATAATGATGGCAGTGTAGTACATACTTGGATCGTTATTCATGCTTCTCGGTTATAACCATTAGCATTTCAACGTTTCGCATGCTGTAATGCAGACTTGTACGTCTGATTACAAGACGGCATTAACTACTGCGCGCGTGGGCGACTCGAGCGTCTACTTTTCCACTGCTCAATAGTAGTGGCATTGTACGTACGGTCATACGGTGAATTTTACCGAAGAAAATTACATATCTAGACAGATGCTGCATAAAAATCGCTCGTAAATGCGCTTGTGTCGCGAAAGCATACGCCAGCGAAAATCGAAGGTCCTTGTCCACATTCATGTGCTATCCCGTAGCACGTGAAATGACTTAAACTTAAGTCGTGATAGTATCCATTGCTATTAAAGAGCGTTGCATCACGTTGATACTGATAGAAGCAGTCACTTTGTTTTGCGACAAAATGATTAAAACTGCATAAACATTGTTCATTGCGGTTCAATGCAGTGCATGCGCTTTTTTCTTGTGTGTTTTTAACAAAAAGCATAAGAGTTACTTTCTGACTTTAATCGATGAAGATTTAATCTTATCTAAGTTTATCCATTGTTTATTCATTGGCCTTTAAGTTAATTAAAATATTTAATTCATGTAATGCATTGTTGCTTTTCCGCAAGTAACTTAAATTATGTTGTCGGCTACATCGACAGTGCCTCAGGTCAAGAACTTTCGACGTTCACGCATTTATTAATGAAGCAAGCATTTCTTGCCTTCAAAAGCTTTTATAACATGTTTCTAATGCTACAAGAATGATAGCTTTACACTCGAGTTATTCGCGACAACAAATATTACTCTGTCGCTATAAAATAAAACTCGTAAGAAAAAATCTAACTTGATTGACTTGCGACAATAGCATTTATAATATATCTTTATTTAAAACAATTTTAGTTATTAATGTAGAGTTTTAATTTTTCATAAAATGACTTATATTATGAGACGAGAGAGAAAGAAAGAAATATTTTATTATTTTTCTCTCTGAATTTATTTTATATTTTATATAATAAGCATCACACGTATATTATCAAACTGTGCATTATGAAAGCTTACTGAACTCAAGGCGGACAAATCGAAACTTGTCCAACGATTGTTGCAACTTTCGCAAACAGATTCTAACGTGTTACTTCATCCCAAAACAGTAAGCCGTATCATTCGAGAATACATCAAATATCTCTTTCGTAATTCACTTCGATTTATCAATTTTTTAATCTCATCATCTATTCAATTTTATTACACATCTCGAACAAAAAAAAGCTTTGCTGAGACAGTTGAATAATTTGAGCGATGCAAGCTGATTGTTATCATCAATCATACAATTGTATATATTGTTCGCTCTCAAATCACATTGTAAAATTAAGATTGACATATATTCGTTTTTCACGATCTCAACAAAATAAGTATCGATTATTCATACAATATACATGTGAATATTTTGGCACTTGATTTGCAGAATTTACAATATTTCAATACAATTTATGAT